CAGAAATCTCTTGGATTGGGCCTATTTCGTGTTTTAATTTGTTGTTTATCAAATCATTCTTAAACTATGCCCTATGCTTCACAAAACGATCGATGAAGATCTTTTATTTAGTACAAACTCCGATAGTTAAAACGTCAACTATTTGTTAGAAGATTGCATTTATGTCAATAATTTTTGTTTTTGATATCTACTTTCTCTGTTTCATTTTAAATGATGTGTAAAATCTTTATACATAGATTCAGAAAGTATTCAAGAAATTGACGGAAAGCATCATCAAATACACTTCTTTTATGTATCCTTCTCAATATATTGCGCATTATCTGGTTATGTAATAATTTATTTTTCGAAAGTTTTGTATACTGACTTTGTAATCTCTCTTTGATATCAATGAAATTAGCTGGAAAAAAAAAGATTAAAAAATTATTTAATATTATATACTTTCTAATTTCTATACTAAAATATTTTTTTTACTTATCTAAAAATAATTCAACCAATGAAAAGCAAATAAAAAAATATAAAGAATTTTTTAAAAAAACAGTAATGTTTACATTCACAATTGAAAACATCATATATAATAAAACAAAAAAATTATCAAACATCAAGTAATATGAAACAAATGGAGTATAAAATATGTTTAACAATAGATTTTTATGCGGAAATACATGATAGTAGTTGACATGATTGTAACATATATATACGATGTTATTATCAAGAAAATCAATCAGATGAGAGAATAGTGATACAAGCGTTCGACTTTGATCAAATATGCGAATCCACGGCACTCTAAATATTTTGTTTAGTTAGTTCGGTTAGGTGACGATCACATACAAATTTCTGTGTCTTTTTGTTGATAAGGTAAAGAAATAAGGCCCATGATTTCAGGGTACGGTTTGGAAAGTAGCCTCAAAATATATAACAAAAAGGAAAAAAAAAAGAAAATTTACACGCATATTTACACTAGCATAGGCGTATAAGTTTCCGTAGAGAGAAGAATGTTCACATCACATCACATCCTTTTAACTTTGGCTCTATATAAAGAGAGATAGCCAAGACAATCATAACAACTCATTCAATTCAAAAAAAAAAAAAAAAACTCTCCACATATCTATTACTTCTACGCTAACTAGAGAGGGAGATTATTGCTCTAAAGTTATTAATTAGGATGGAGGAAGTAAAGAAGAGGGATTGTATGGAGAAGGCAAGGCCATTCATTTCAATGGTAGTGTTGCAAGTAGGGCTAGCAGGAATGGATATTCTCTCAAAGGCTGTCCTAAACAAAGGCATGAGCAATTACGTTCTTGTTGTTTACCGTCACGCCGTTGCAACTGTCGTTATGGCTCCGTTCGCCTTCTATTTCGACAAGTACTGTCTACTTTCTTTTCTCTCTACATATATATCAACTTCTCTCATAACATAAGCCAATGTTTTGTTTGAGTAGATTCAAGACTATGTACAGAATATCAATGACAACAGAATATCAATCTAGTATGATATATTGAAGAAAAATAAATTAGCCTAGGATTATTAATTTTGGTTTGTGTTCCATGTTGTGCAAACGCAAAAGAAAACAATTATGACCATATTCTACAAAGCTAGCGGACTATATATCAAAAACATGAAAGATCATAACATATATATATATATATATATATATATATATATATATATATATATTGAGTATTTTTAATTTTGTTTTTGTTGGTGGTGCTTGGACGTTAGTGTGTTGAAACTTGAAAAGATGAGAGTAGCAAAAAGAAAGAATGAGGCTTTTGACGTAATATATGATAAGAAAGGGTCACTCATATGTTAAAAGACAAAAAAGAATTGTAACCGTTTTATATTTGGTTTTTCTGTGTTTTCTGCCAATGTCATGCACTGAATGTGAGTCCTATGCCTTTTTTTAGTGTTGTTTCTCTTTACAAAAAGATACACTAATTCAATTATTTCGTGCGTAATCAAAAAGTTGGTATGCTTCCGTAATTATGACTGTAATCCCGTAATATTTACACAGGTTTCTACATAACTAATTTGAAATGAATATAGTCAGCTGTCAATTTTCCCTCTTTTCTTAAAATTTTCTTATAGTTTAGATGATTCTCAAATACTGTATATTATTTTTACCACGATTCCCATATAAGCCAAAGTCCCTAATAAAAATAAAATAATGATTGGAAGTGTGTTTGAAATGGTTGGAAATATTTTCTCTATGGTTAAAAAGTAAATGTTACGACGATCTAATGTAATTTATGATGTAAAACAAAACAGGAAGGTGAGACCGAAGATGACACTGATGATATTCTTCAAGATATCACTCCTTGGTTTACTCGAGTAATATTTTATTTTTCTTCATCTTCATTCTGTTTTAATCTTTCAAACTTGAATCTGATAAATTTTTGTATCTTGTCATAACAGGCCAGTGATCGACCAGAACTTATACTATCTCGGGATGAAATATACGACGGCGACATTTGCAAACAGCATGTACAACGTCCTACCTGCAATCACT